GTTGTTTAGATAGTCCGATGAGTCAGGGGCGATGACCGGTTTGGATTACTTGATGATCTGTACATCATTTTGACAGTTGAAGAAAACTGAGACATAAAGAGATGTGTATGATGACTTAAGAGTTTGTTGCGAGCAAAGCTTAGTCAGATTTTTTACATACAATGCTGTTCGAAAATCGTACATATTATTAAACAACAATTGGGTCGGAAAAAAGTTCAGATTTTTCCACGCGGGCCGGGCTTGGGTGGGAGCTGTGGGCCCTTGACGATTGGGAGTACGTCTCCTGTGGCTTGGGAGCTGACATAAGCGAGGGTCGATCCACCTCCGAGTATCAAGAATTTCAGAAGTAGACCTCTCTTGGTGAAAGGAGCAGCAAATGTTTCGAAGAATTTGCTCTGCAAATTCAGATAGTCATATAGTTAATAATCTAGAGGAAAAAATTAAAAATTTAATCCTGTAATTGACATTTAATTGAGAAGTAGTTCGGTGATCGTGTTTACTTTACAAAATATATGTAATTGCAAAAAATCTGACTTTTGGTCCTTTCACCGGCAAAAGTCGGTCCTTGTGATCGGTTGCTAACGTAGATAACTAGATATTATTTTTTTTTTTTTTTTTTTCTGTACACGTGGCAGCCGACTAATATATCCAACTCAGTAGCCGGTCAAATTGATCGGCTTTTGCCGGTGGAAGGACCAAAAGTCAAGTTTTTTTTAAGTTGGTGTTTTGTAAATTCAACGCAACCACCGAACTATTTTCCAATTTGGTGTCAGTTAGGACTAAATCTCCAATTTTTCCTAATCTAGTGATTGAAATTTTTATTGAAGTTCCATATCAAGCCGGAACTCAACGATACAGAGATACAACAAAATATCTCTCTCTAAGCACAAATTCTAGGATGAGTTAGTCTAACAATGAGTCGTACTAGTCATACTTGTTGAACTAAGGTGCGTATTTATACTGTTAAATATCGTACTTCCGTTTAAGTTTTTTTCTTTAAAAGTATGATATTCAAATAAGAAAGTATGCATATTTGTTGATAAAGTACATCTGACTAATCGTTAAAATGAACAAAAAAAAAACATGGGGTAACAATTCATGCTATCGAGTTGTATTTTTGTTTCAGCATCGTGTTTTCGTATTATCTATTTTATTCAATCATAAGTATAATACTTATTACTTAATCCGAATTTTACTATTTTTGTTTCTTATTTCATGATTATCATCTCTTGTTTCTACAAGCCATTGACACACCTACAAAACAAACTTTTTAGCAGTCAACGTGGAAGATGAAAAAACTTAAAGCATGAAGCTCCATAGCAACTAGCAAGTAACATACCATTGACCATAAAGTATGAAGAAATTTACAGATATTACCCAAATATCGAAAATAAACAGGCCGATTATTTTTCGTCAACAAGTAAAGATTTTCGAGTATGAAAATTACCTGAAGAGAGTTATACGGTGAGGGTGCATCCGAACCGTACAAATCCCATTGCCCGGTTGTGTTGCCGATATCCTCCAAATCAAAGTACACACTCTTCTCACCATATTTTGCCACCACAGAACAAGCCTTACTGTTTTTAACATTCAATCAGCAAAAGTTTTATACCATTTTCTTATCCATATTTCAGCCATGTAAAAAAAAAAAAGTATATGATAAAATTAACCCATCTAATTACTCAAATTTTAACATTAAGTGTATATTTGGTAAACCTGGCTGATAGTTCATAAGCTATAATAAAAGTGTATGCTAAAATTAATCGATAGTTACAGACTTTCTTTGTAAAAGCCACCTAAGGAAAAATAGGAGATAAATTTATTTTTATCAAACCAAATTTATTTGAATATGAAAATTTTATATGCTAACTAAATAAATAATAAATTAATATATACGGTTTGCCGATCGAACACACTCAAATATAAACCACATGTGCACGTACTGGAAAGTGTAATATGGGTCAAGAAGCAATTTACCGGTTGTTAGTAGGCTTGAAGCCAAAATTAGATGGCTTCAAATGGAGCTTAGTCCCGGCGAAGGAACTTCCGGCGAGGCCTTTAACGGTGGTGGGCTGGGCCGCGGAAAAAGTTGCAAGTGAAGCCATTTTTTNCAAAATGTTTAGGGGACATGTGGGAGTTACATTGTACTTATTTGATGATGATGGCTAGGGAGACGTAACCCTATTAAATTAAGGTTCGAGTTCTGTTCGACTCGTTTTATAAAAAAACCGAGTTCAAGTTTATTTAAAATTCGTTTAGTAAGCTCGACTCGAAATAAGAATTTCAATATAATTTTTTATAGTTCTCGTTAAAGCTCGAGATAGCTCGTTAATAGTGATAAACTAGTCGAGCTCGAACTCGATTTCAAACTCGTTTATTTAACGAGCCGAGCTCGGCTGGGCTCATATACAAGGCTAGAGATAGGCATGTCAATAAAATTCATATGGTTGGGTTACCTGTATTTTTAGGACGGGTGAACCCGGTATAATCGGGTTTCAAATCGAGTCCAAGTAGATTTATGCTATCAGAACCTCGGATCAGGTATAGTAGAAAAAATCGTTATCCAACCTGATTTTATATATATAAGTAGTCATGACATGTGCAATTAATAGTAAAAAGTAATTTATTTATTATAATTTTGTTTAATGATTAAATTTGTTTTATTTTTTAATTTTTTTATCAATATTTGTTGCAGTTGTACAATAACAATTTTAATTAATTTTTGTAACTACATAACTATGATAAATTATAATCAACCAAGAAATGTAATTATACAACTTGTACTTTATATACAAAATTTATTGTAAGTATTCTCAGCGAACACTGATAGTTTATCATCCATGCAAAATGCAGTGTATAAGAATAATAATCTTAAGTCAGTATAAAAAATGAATATAAAAATATTAAAAATTATAATTTTAAAAGAGGTAGAAAAAACTAAAATTAATGAGGCTAATATGCTTCTTTTGTCCAAATTAAGAATTGAGAAAAGAATTATTCTTATATAATAAATTAGTAAAATTTAAACAAAGTCTACTTCTCTTGTACTAGTATACTTATATTATTACATTCTCATGCAAAGTCTCATATTTCAAATTTCCATCATTTAGACATATATTATTAAATTTTATATAGCACATTATCCCTTTTTAAATGTTATATTATTAACTATACTATAGAAGATAAGTAATTATATCTCATTATTTACTCCAAATATAATCTAGAAATTTTTCATAGTTGTTTTATTATCAAATTTCGTTAATAATTTATTAGTTATATTGTAATTATTGGCGAAATTAGGTTACTTTTATTTTTCTGCACACGAACTGAATCGGGTCGAGTTGGGACCAGGTAATATCCAAATTTAAGAATTTGAATTATCTATTTACCCGACGAATACTTGATAACCCACTGGATAAAACTTAATTCGAACCCAAAGTTCACGAGTCGAGTGACAGGTCAAGTTCGAGTAGAATAAATTATATGCAGGTTGGGTTTGAGTGTGTCAAAATCCGAACCCGACCCAATCCGTTTACATCCTTAGTTAGAGGACAACGTTGATTGAATTATGAAGAAA